TTTATATATATATATATATATATATATATATATATATATATATATATATATATATATTAAAACAAGAGTGTACCAATAGTTTTGGTACACCAGAAAAGTGCCCTTCAAAAAGAAATTCCGGTCTTTGATCATCTGGTAACTTTGTTGGAAACAAGTTAGATGACGAAGAACTTTTCATCATCATCACGAATACTTTTTCATTTTTCCAACCGATGAACGGTAAAACTATAAGTCAATTCCTTTCATAATGTTGAGGGTGCTATCCAGGATATTAGACTCATCCTTGAGGGTATAAAAATAACTCCTAAGGAGGAATTACACATTCTTGGTCCTCCAGTCTTTCTTCTGGTCATTCGAGTGTTTGAATACTAAGCATATCATTCTAACAAGAATGCAATTAAAGGAAGCACATCCAGCCCTCTTCTTCTTGACAAACATATTTTTCTCTACCGAGGTTCCTTTACACTCCCCGAAGTGTTCCTTGCTATCTCGAACAGGATTTCGTAAACGAGATATCACAATTAAGAGATGTACGGTGTTAATTTGCAACATTAATTTCGACGACACAGGCTGGGGGCGGATGAAGCTCCCTTTAAGTTTCGGATGCCTGGGCCTTCGATCGGCGACAGACTTGGCCCTTCTAGAATATATTTCTTCACTTTCTTCCAGTCTTGAATTAATTGATAAGATACTCGGTGGATCGTCTCAGTGTTTTTTCGAACCAGCATACAGCGTCTAGGTCCAAGAATTACTTTCTGTCCCACAAGACACATGAAAACAGATAATCTGGGATAAAATAAAATGCGAAGCCAATTTTACTAATTTGAGTCTCTCTCTGTGGATCAGCACTGCCTCGCCTCTCTAGTATCTACTTCACAACTGAGTAGTAGCACCTGGCTCAGTGCCCTCCTCATCTATCGGTACCCTTCTGGATGATGAGTGCACTCGACTTGAGGTCGCAATCCAACTTGGGCTCCAGTTATGTGAGCGTCACAAATGCAGATATGCAGCTTCCATTGATGAGTTTGGTTTGCATCCTCCCCGCTGTCGTCGTAGGGCCGGCCGCTTTCCAAGAAATGCAGTAATAAACGACATCATCAGAAGAGGTCTAGATACAGCTGGGTTCCCTTCCCAAATCGAACCCGTAGGTCTTGACCACGATTATGTAAAGCGACCGGATGGGATTAACATTTTCCCTTTTAAAGGTGGAAATCCTTGATTTGGAATGCGACCTGTCCTGATACATTTTTGTCCGGTAATTTGGTCAGTTCCGTGTTTTAGCCGGGGTCTATCGCTTGGGACGCGGAGATTAGAAAAAAAAGTTAAATATTCTTTTCTTACGGAGAGATTTATTTTCACTCCATTGTCAGTGGATACTTCTGGGTTTATTGGACTTTGTTCGATGGCGTTCCTTCGAAAGTTGGCGGGATTGCGTCTCGATTAATAGACGCGCCACATGAAATTGAGTGGCTGTTGAAGCGTGTCCCACTGAAAATTGTACAAAGTGATGGTTTCTGCATCATTGCAGCTAGCAAAAACAAAACAAAACAAAACAAAAAACAAAAACAAAACAAAAAAAACAGTTTTTTTTGTTTATAGATACTTTGTTCAATAAATTCCTTTTTCTGTTTCGTATTTACTTACAAACAGCATGTTTACACTTATATAAAAGCGTTTGGAATGTAATATCGTACATATACTTGTAACTTGAACCAGTTGGCCCAACTTTGAACAATATGACGGATTCCTGAATAATCCCAAAATGGAAACTACCGAAACAAATACGCATGCGTAAATCTTTCTCTGTATTAATCAAAGATAGCAGAAGTTTGAAAGAATTCAGAGGGAAGTGACGGAATTATGAAAACAGCAGAAACCGTTACACATCCTTTCTTTAAAACATCATTGTATTCATTGTCATCTTCCTTATTTAATGGAAAAAACTATTTTCTTTCTAAATCTCTTTGGCTTTTCGAGATTGACGCAAATGCGGCGAGTAAGTCCGGAAATAACACTGATAAAATTTATGATGCTATTTGTGTTGCGGGAAAATTTTGCGAAGTTTGAAACTTATTTATTGGCTCTAAAAATCTCAAATGCACACAGATAACAAGATGTATGAAACAGAATAAAACGTTTTCTTTTACAAACCAAAGCAAAATGTAAGAAAAGATATAAGGAAAGAAGGACTGGAATAAAACTAAACAATGAAAGGAGATCCTGAAAAACTGATACGTTATAATACACAAATATTGTTAAAGGATTCAATATTGCCGAAATAGACTTCATAAAATGTACTTATATATTAAGTTCATGGAAACAATCATTATATTTGAAGGAAAACTGAACGGTTCTTACTTTGAACTGTTGTATCCTCGAAATGTTTAAAGATAATCATACTTGAATCCGAACTTTTATAATAATACTATTGAACTCTACTTTGAACAATCAGAATGTATAAAAACTTGCCAAGCTTAACAGAAGAATCATGATGAAATCGATAATAAACGAAAATGACATGTCCATCATTAATTAATCATAGCTAAGGATTGGAAGCTTGTAAAAGATTGAAATAAAGTTCAAACGAAAGCTTAAATAGCGCTATTTATCTCAAATTGATGAGAAGAATTCTGGCACAAGGCCAAACTGATAGTCATCAAGAATTCCTCAACCTTTGGCAATGACACCCTCAACCCTCTTGCTGAATACACCACAAGCCTTTTTTAATGAATTCTACATAAATATTATCCAACCATTGATGGATTTTTTGAGGACTTGCAGGTTACTGTAGGGGAATCTCACAAACTCTGAAGTCTAAGAGGATCAAATCAGGCGATGAAGGAGGCCAAGTTTTCTTATCTCAAACCTATTCACGAAGACATCACTGAGAAAATTTTGAGCTACTGCGCTCGTGTGACAAGGAGCTCCATCCTACTGAAATGTTGATTTGACGGCCTTATTCATCTTGTTGGGGTTTCGGTTGTCTCAGAATGAATCCTGTTTTTTACCTTTTCAAAATTTGAACATAGCGCACTCCTGTCAATCACAGTGTATACTTTTATATTTACATACGCTCTATTTCCTCTGATATTAAGCACTTTTCTTTAAAGGCACCATTATCCAAAATCCCTAACATCTTTGTAAAAAGCGCTATTAATAAAACGCATTTTCGTTTTGTTTTATGAAAGATTACTTAAATTTTCCTTTGTAAAGTTATACGCAGCCTTGTAGGTCATGTTTTTTTCACCCTAAAACCCTCTTTCATCGGCACAACGTCGTAACCCTTTTACAAAATCTAAATTTTAAAAATATTTCCAAGTGAAAATATGCTAAATCAACGTCCAATCAGATAATTTCAGATTTTACTCCTTTTACAAGATTGATGTTTTCTGTGTGCAAGAGTTGTATCGTCTTGTTTATGGCTTCATTGTGCATTTGAGGTGTAGTTTATTTTGAAGAGAAAATGCAATATTAAGTTGGAATTGCCATAGGAAAATGACTAGACATTGTAACAGATGATGTCGAACAGTCGTCAGAAAGACTGATGGCTGCCGATATTGTCGTTCAGGGCCATACAGTCAAAATGATATCAAATTATGCCCCAACTGTCTCGGAAAAAGAGAAATTCTACATCGGACTGAGTAAAAATTTTATATTTAAAAAACCCAGAAAACCGTGCATTTCTGGGTATTTTAATGCTTTCTAATTAAACGCCTCTACTCCTCTGATTGTAAGAAAACGTCACCTTTTGAAACAAAAGCCTCAAACAGCAATGGAGAACCCTCGCTAAACATTTGTTGCTCAAGTTGTTAACACATGATTTGATAATCCCAGGAAACACCGTATCACATGGCATATCCCGGATAATATAACAAAATAATTATTGTCTTCAGCATCTCATAATCTTGGATCAGACAGTTTCTGATAGTTATTAGAGTATACATCTTATACATTGAATCAGATCATAGACTACTTGTAACTGACAACAAAAGAGTTCGCTACCGCCCACATAAACCAGGAAAAACACCCCTAGGTGTAACATCCAAGTCCGTATAAATGAAAGGTTAGATTTAGAATTCAGTAAGTCCAAATTGATGTCAGTAAATATTGATTAAAATATGAATAAAAAACTTTTATCATATTGCCATTAGCTGAAGCACATGCGACCTTTCAAAGAATACCTAGAAGGAAAAAACTACAACCATTGAACGAAAATTCTAAGTCGAAAAAATTGATACGAGAAAAAATATCAGAAGAGGAAAAAATGAAATGGAAAATTCTTAACAAAAAATAAAAATAAAAAAGGTAATTATTTAAGAAACCAGTATCTCCGGCAATTTGGAAATTAAATTTGTGGAACTAAGCAGCTTAGACAAATTTTGTTTAAATGTGGAGAAAAGAGAAAAATCGAAATAATATCATGCAATCAAAACCTTCACAGAAGAAATGCCCTGGTCTCTTTGAGTCTTATTTCATTCATGACCGCACTAAATTTAAGATGTTCGCAGAAATATAGAAATATTAATCCATCATTACAAAGTCCATTTTTAGACATAAACAATGACGAACTTACTGGTGGGAAATTTGAAAGAAAATACGAATAATCATTCTATACTGAGGTTGAATTTTTTAAAAATAGCTTACTGCATCCCCGAATTCATTTTATGACAGAAGTCTAGAGTCAGAAATGCATCTATAAAACTCGGTTTTATCACGCATTAATACATTATAGAAACAAAAAGGTAGTTACCAGTCCGTCAAACATAAAGAGATATCTCAATTGAATTCATCATGGTAAAAGTATTAATTAAAATTGCGTGTATTAACTAGGCTCACATGATTTTTTAAAGTCATGTTCTCACGACCCAGTTTGGTTTTCGTTCTGGTATAAGGAATGTAATCATGGCATATATCATCAAACAACTCCAGGAAATGTCTTACTTCTCTAACAGGAAACTGAACACTCGCCTTATTGAACTCACTACAGCATATAACCACATCAATAGGTACTCTGTTTTCTCATCCATTAGAAACCGCCTTCCAAGCTCCGAATCCACTGAATACATTGATATAATAGAGGAACTGTTTCGATCTACAGTATCTACATGTCTGGCGAGGATCACAATGAAGAAAGATTTCAAATTCTAGTAGAATTAATACAAGCAGGAAATGAGAGCCCCAATTTCGTTAATATTCACCTGTGCAGTTACAAAAGGCAAATGAAAAGAGATGGACACTGATTATTTAACCATTCCATACCACATTCCAAACGAATCTACAAATAAAATACAACTATCCTGCTTTCCCTCACAAGGCAGAGGTAGTTATGGCCAACACCGCAAATTGCTACAAAACCAAAACTTCAACCTGTAAACTTGAGTATTATTCTTAAATATTCTATTATATAAAAACTTTCATGTTGAAGTTATGCATGGCGCCAATCATTTTTAGAAATATCTAACCTATCTATTGCATACAGTCGCTTTCTAAAATAGTGGTTAAAAAGGCTTTGCGAAGTTTGAAGGTCATGGAAAAGATCATTGCTCTTTGAAAAAATTCAAATAAAAGTTTATGAAGGAAGCCCCCTACCCATCAATACCGAGAAGAACGATAACAGCTACTAGACCCGAAAAAGCTAATTTCTTGAAGAAAATGTTTTAAGAGAAAGATTTTATAAATTTCAACCGACAGTAGTATTGGCTGCTCGGTCTATAAATGGCAAATTGTTCCTTGTTGAAA